TTCTATTAACTTTTCTAGGAGTATTTGGATGCTACCACTTCCCATGCCATACACAATACCTCTTCCCAAGCTATGTACATTTAACTTTCCTAGGAGCATTGATGGACATTACCCCTTCCCAATAAAATTTTAAATTTAAATTCTAACATTTCCCTCCTAATTCTCCCCATGCACAAACAATATATAGAAATCCCTGACTTTCTTGTGAGTTACAGAAAAGTCCATTGTAGAGAAAAATACACAAAATACCCATCTTACCAAAAAAAACGAAAAGAGAAAACATAATAAACGAAAAGAGAAAACACAATCCACTAAATATTAGTAAAATTTTCTTTCATTTTTTGCATCAATCTCCCTAGGTTAAAGAGAACTCATCCTCGTGTTCAAGTCAGTTATGAATTCCTTAAGGGCTTCGAGATCAATCTTCATCAATTCTTCTTTAGAAACCTAGGAACTCTCGTCATCAGGCTTGCCCTTCCATTGTGCCAAATACTGCAGGTAGAGTTGATGCTATCATCCAAGATGTTCTCTACCTTGTCCCCCCTTTTGCTTGGGCAGATGTGCTTCCCAACTGGCTTCAACTTCCCTAACAACCTCCTCATGACATTCATATAGGTTGGAAATGTTGAAAATGTGAGAAATTTTATATCCTTCGGGAAGCTCAATCTTGTAGCCATTCAGCCCCATCTTTTGAAGTACACAATGAGGACCATTGTTCTTATATTTAAGCTTATGGTAAATGGCTCTTGGGAAGCACTTACACCTAAGGTATACCATTAAAGTCCCCACTTCAAAGGGTTATTTTTTTTTTTTTATTATCGTAAGTGCAAGTCAACGGCGGCCCTGTACTTGTCCTAGAGCTTCTGTAATTTTTCTCGAACGTGACAATGGAGGTTCAATGTGCTCAGCCAAAGCTTCAGCATCATCGTTAGCTCGTGCCTTGTTGGGCAAAAGGACTAAGTCAAGTACCTTGCTTGGTGGTTGACCACTCACCACCTTGAGTGGAGCCTTCCCAGTGGACCGAATATGAGAACTGTTTATAGACGTAATTTAAAACTCGATCTCATTGAGAAGGCTTGTCCCTGGCAGGGCTCCTCAACAAATCACAAAGGCTTTGGTTGACAAATTCGCTTTCACCATTGGTTTGTGGGTGGTAGGCGCTGCTATACCGCAATTTAATGCCGAACTTCTTCCACAAGGTTCTCCAAAAATGGCTCTCAATTCTTGTGTTTCAATCAGAGGTGATGGTTTTTGGTACCTCATGAAGGTGGACCATCTCCCTAAAGAAAAGATTAGCCGCTTGAGTCACTTCTAGGGTGTTTCAGCATGGGATGAAGGGGGTCATTTTCAAAAACCTATTTTACCATCACGAAGATAGAGTCGCACCCTCTTGTGGTGCAGGGAAGCCCCACCACAAAGTCCATACTCACATCTGTCCATGGTTGATCAGGGATGGGTAAGAGAGAGTTTTGAGACCGTCCTTTTGCTAATTGGCAAACTTGGTAGTGCCCCACAAACTGGCTGACATCTCTCTTTAGTTTGGGCCAAAAATACTTCTCTTCCACAAGAGTTGTGCTCTTATACCGCCCAAACCCGGTGCTAAGGTTGTCACCGTGCATCTCACCCATGATTTACCATGCATCTCACCCATGATTTGTATGTGAAGTGGCTCCATTGGGAATGCAAAGTTGGTTTCCTTTAGAGAGAAAACCATTTAATAAAACAAGAGCAGTATATGTATCCTTTTCTCCTTGTGTAAGTTGCTCAAGTATCTTAGAGGAGTATGGATCAGTAGTATAAGCTTTAGGGCCTCAAAACCCACCATCGAGGTGGAAAATCTACCAAGGAAGTGACACCTCCAGCTGAGGGCATCAATGACCTTTTTTGGTTGCCCAATATGTGGTGGATTATGAAAGTGGACTCTTGTAAGTAAGAGACCCTTTGCATACCTCCTATTCAATTTCTTTTGAGCACTTAGATACTTCAAAGCTACATTGTCTAAGAAAACGATAAATTCCCCTTGAATGAGGTAGTGCCTCCAATGCCTCAAGGCTTGCATTGCCGTATAAAACTCCACTTCGTAAGTACAATAATTATCCTTTGCCCCCCTCAATTTCTCGTTAAAAGGCCATGGGTTTGCCCTCTTGACTTAGGACACCTCCAATTCCCACCTTTGAGGCGTTGCACTCCACTTGGAAGACCTTTCCAAGTTTGGAAGTGCAATGGAAGGAGCACTTGTCATTCATTCTTTCCCCAATTTGAAGTTGTTTTCAGCAACCAAAGTCCCACACTTGCTGTAAATGTAATAAATGTTCATCAGTGTTTGGACTGTAAATGAGGATATCATGAAAATACCGTACAACAAACTTGCCAATTAACAAGTGGAAGACTTGGGTATGGAACTGGAGTTTCCCCTTTGATCCATCAGATGCCATTTGTTGATTCTACCCTTTCAAAATCCTTGCTAACTCCATACTTCCTAAAGCTGTGTTGCATTGGACCATATTGAATAACTGAAAATTGTAGAAACATATGTCGATACCTGAAAAATATTGAAAATAGGTGACGCATTCTTAATCACAAGGAAATATTATGGGAAATTTTCTCTGTAGCCTTGGACTTTTTTCATGTATGTTGTTGTAATTTTGCTGAAGTACAGCCCATGAATCAAGTAATTCTTCTCATTCATTATTCACCGACCTATGCACTCTAGTAATTCATTACATCATGCTATATGCTAGCTCTTGCTGATTTTGAAAAAGTTAGAAGTGGTAGGAAGAGCTTCTTCTTTGGTATCTGAATCTTATGCGCGAATAGAATATTGGAAATTGCTTTGGGGCTCGTTCGGGTACTTGGAGAAGCCTGTCTTGAGGAGAGGCTTCTACTAGAATTGGCTTCTTCTGGAATTGGTCTGTCCCTGGGATAGGGGTGTTTGTTGTTTGGATAGCACCAGATAAGAAACATGGAATGCTTGTTAACTTTTTGGATTGCCTGGAGGATGTGAATCCATGGAAATTAAATTGCAGTTTTTGTATTAGTACATTACATTTAATTGAATTTTATATTAATTAAATTCGCACATGCATTCCAAACTTCAATATTATTTCTTAACTATGATGAAATCCTTATTTTTTTTCTTATTCCATTATATTGTATTCTTTTATATAGATATCTTAACTTCAATGTTTTGGAAAATTATCAAGTTATATACTTTCCTATTTTGAAACTTAGAATTAATATCTCTAATTCTTGTAGGGCAAACAATGTAGCTTGTGAGAATAAATGAGTAAATTTATTCCAATATGTATGAGATTTTATCAGTACTAATATATGTTCGATTTTATCACATCAAACAATGTAGGGCAAACAATGTCGCACATAACAAGGAGTCCGAGTTTATCAGTAGGAATATAAATTACCAATATTCTCCAAATAATCAGCCCATCGCATCTCAAATTGTGCATAAAATTATACAACATACTCAAAATTCTCCACACATGAATCAAATTCAAGTCCTCATATGAATCAAATTCAAGCCCACATATGAATCAAATTCAAGCCCATTAGTAGTTCCATTGAAATAACAATGATAATGGAAACTCCATCAGTAGCCTTTTCCATTGAAATAAAAATGATATTGGGACATCTAATGAATAACAAAAAAGCAAAAAAAAAAAAGCAATTGAAAAAGAAATAGCCCCAAAAGATGCCATAAGTTCTTATCTCTATGAAAGAACTCAAACAAACCCAATTCTCATTTCAGTGGGATTGTACAAGAACTTCTCCAATAGTAGAAAGCCGCTCTTCCTCTGGTATATGCTCCAATTTGGTGATTGCACAGCTCTCAACCACTTGAAATCATCAACATTTGCCTAGTTACCAGTCTCTTCACCAAGCCCACATTCACATAGCTCCTCATCAAGGCCTTCATAGGATTTACAGCAAGGGGCAAACCTCACACCACTGCTATCTTCGATAATAGGCCTGCTCCTAACCCTAAGATAAAAGTCTGTAACTTTTGCCTTGTGAATTCTTATCTAATGCTAAGCTAGCATGAAAATCCAGTTTTCCACCTCTTCTATGAGAACGGAACCAGTAATAGGGCCTGAGAAGACATGGTAACCACTCAATTGATGAACAAACAGAGCCCTCAATCTCCCTTTCTAAGTAAATTTTTCAGTTTGTTAGATCTGAAAGTGTAAAGTCTCCATTAAGGAAACCATTCAGATCCTTTACTAGAAGACCACCTTCATGGTTGTGAAAACCAGGGGAATCCAACACATTAGAGCTTGAAGAGGTCTCTAATGGAGTCTTTGGAGAAGATTCAAACGCTTCTGTGTTAGATTCCTCTAATACACTGGTCTAGTTCTTGAGAAGCCTGTCCTGGGGCAATCTTTTGTAGAGGCGCTAGGGTTTGGCACGCAATAGCAATGGCAAAGGTTTTGTAGAGGCGCTAGGGTTTGGCACGCAATAGCAATGGCGAAGGTTTTGTAGAAGCTAGGGTTTTGCACGTGTTTGTGGAAGGCGCTTGTTTATTTGCAAACCTCATTGTTCCAACTTAACTTGAATGAATTGTAAAATTTTAGGTCCGACGGGGATTGGCCTATCCACAAAATCGCGGATAGCACTATTCCACCTATTTTGGTAGAATAGCATTCTCCACGTTTTTAGGCCAAAAATGTGGATAGGCCAATCTGCAGGGGAGTGTTAGCTGGGTCCAAACGTGCTACCCAAACGGTGGATAGCGGCCCAAAACCTGGAGAAGCCAATCCTCAAGAGGTATCCAAACGGGCCCTTGGTGTTCTTGATTGCATATGCTAAAATATGAAATTTACCTTGATTTGTTATCTTGTAGATTAAGATAAGCTTTTGACATGTAACTTTTGTAAACAAAAGGAAGCTTGTAGTCTGTATATTCATGGTTAGACATAACAGTTAACTTTCTGGAACTTTTTGTTTTGGATGGTAGAATGGCTTACCAAAAATTCTATTTCCAAAAGGTTTCTTGTGGGAGCAGGACCATAAAGTTAAGGACTAAAAGTAATGCCAAAGTCCGAGATTGGGTTGCTGCAATTAATGATGCTGGTTTGAGGCCTCCAGAGGGCTGGTGCTATCCTCATCGGTTTGGGTCTTTTGCTCCCCCAAGGGGTCTGACTGATGATGAGAGTGAGGCTCAATGGTTTGTAGATGGGCAGGCGGCATTTGAAGCAATTGCTTTGTCAATTGAAGAAGCGAAATCTGAGGTCTGTTCATAAATTTAATTGTGGTACATTTTGTCGTAGCCATCTCTCTGGTTTTTCTCTCTGTTGATTTCAAGGAAAAACAGAATAATTTTGAAGTTCCGTGCAGATATTCATTACTGACTGGTGGCTCTGCCCAGAATTGTATCTACGTCGTCCTTTCAATAGTCATGAATCCTCCCGGCTTGATGCTATCTTGGAAGCTAAAGCTAAGGAAGGAGTTCAGGTAATATTTTGTTGTCCGAGTTGAGTAGCTCATTGGTTGTAAACATCTGTTTTGTTAATATGGTTTTCCTTTTTCTTCTCACCTTAAGGAAATTTATTCGATACTACTTTTCTTTGCTGCTGAACTGCATAGATTAATCTCATAGATGCCCTTTTCATGCTAAATTAGTTTTTTCGCTATGGATTAAGTTTGACATGTTTGCAATGTTTTCTTCCTGCCTTGACATTAATAATTAGGAACACCACTTTTTGGGATCATGTATTGTCAAAATTTATAATCTGTTTCTTAAATCATATGAAATAGTATTTCTTCATGCTACTGAATTATAAAATTAAATTACAAAATGGTGTCTTTTTTGGTATGGAGATATTCTTCTATATTTGCATATAATGTCTGTGGAGTGCTGCAATCAGTTCTTTAGGGACGTGAATTCTTTTTAAAAGATTTTTTTACAACTTGAGAAGACAATGGTAATTGATACATTTGAATCATTACATGCTACATGTATTTTATAGGGTAATGACTCTATATATGTTGTAAAAATTTGGCCTGGTCTCCTGCTAAGAGGCTAATAAAGATTCCTTGGTGAAATAGGGTGTTGTCCGAGAGAGGCTCTCACTACGGGAGAGTCTGTCTCATCCCTTTCCCTTTGTGCTTTGTTTGTACATTTCCTTGTATGGTTTTTATGGAACTAGCTGATGGCATGTGCATTGCAGGAAGCTTTAATTTATAAAACTTTTCAAAAAAGTATATCTTTGTAATTACAAATTCTAATTTTAAATTTAAGTAATTCGTGTCATAATAAAACAATTGGATATTTCAAAAAACAAGTGGGTCTTAAATAATTGGACTTCAAAAAAAAAAAACTGGATTTTTTAAACTATTCTTAAGAAATGACCTAGTTATAGTAGGTGATGAATATTCTTCTGTTTTTAGAAAATCAATGTTTATTTAGAATTGGAAATTAGAAATTTAACGACAGGGCTCCAATGAAATCTATTTTTGTTATATTTTTTAATTAAAATGTTCTAATGATGGTGAGGAGCTTAAACTTTCCCTTAACCCGTCCCAAGCCTTGGTAAAGGAGGTGGGTTGCATTTGGTAGGCGGCCGGTGTAAAACTTTGCCACATCTTATCGTGAATCCTAAAAAAAATAGGGAGCAAGATTCATGTAGCTGATCCCAAATAATTGAGATAAAGCTTGGATGATGATGATGATGACAATTATTTTTTAATTAAATTCTTTCATTCACTTTTTAAAGAATTCTTGCCATGATAAGACGATTAAATTTCCAAATATTCTTAAAATATTTTCCTATGTAATAGATATTTTTTTTAAATGGTTAATATTATTTGATCTTAAATTATTAATAATCTGTGTTTTAAAAATAATTAATGCCAATCTAAATAAGAAATTTGAGATTTTAGGAAAGATATGAGGTTTGTAGTCCTACTTTCCCTACAATTTTGAGAGAGGACTCTAGGGAATCGTTGCAGTTAGATATGAATTTGTTAATGTGCTTAGACATAGGGATTGAGTATGGAATGTGAGGAGAAAGATAATATGGGAATTCTAAAGTTAACTCCTTATTTTGAGAAAATTTTGGGAAATTGGAGGGAAAAAATAGCCATGGAGAGGAATTTCAAATTTACAATCTTGTTTATTCTCCTCTAGTGATTCTTATATCATGCATCATTCATTACTTTTTGTGATATGATGGAAATCAACTATCAAAAAGGAAGAATGAGGTAACTTTTATTTCCTCTGTATATTCTTTTATTCTTTTTAATTGGATCGTTATATTCGATCTTATTATTCATCCTGTCAAAGTACTCATACAACAATAATGGCTCGCCAAGAGAAATCCAATCACGCAACACAAAAAATGGATCTCTGCTAAACACATCCTTTGAAAGGAGATCTCACTCGCAACCCCACTTAATAGTGAATCTCTTGAACAATCTCTCTACCCTCAAGCATACCCTAAGTTTTTTTTTTTTTTCTCCACATAGAATATTAGAATTTGTTGGAGATGAAAACAAACTGCATAATTTTGTACAAAAAACCAGAATGAACTGAACATGAAAAAAGAACCACCAAGCCAAGTTCTTTCATAGAAGGGGTAAAAAAAAAAGGGAAATTTCACATATGTGCACCTTTTCAACGGCTTTATTATGACATGAGTTGAATATTTGTGAAAATTACATGGAGACCACCCCTACCCCTTTTCACCAATCTCTATTTGCAACACCGAACATCCCTGCCATTCGGTTCTTCTTAATATTTAATTAGTACAATAGATTTCGTGTAATGTAAAAAATTTTATTAATTTCTTATTTTATTTAAGAAATAAAAAAATGTTGAGCATCTCCTTGTTTTTTTCCAACTTGGGAAGTTGAGCTATCGAGTATTAGAAATACCGAATAGTCTTATTGTTTGGTGTTGTGAATATCGGACATGTCCTTACGGGATTTCCCACCTGTCCGGTATTGGAAATGCCGGTCAGGTGGGCAATTCTGAAAAAGAAAAAGGCCCATAGGTTAGGGTTGTCTCCACGTAATTTTTGAAGTGATATAGAGTGTAGGATGCTTTTGTATACAATACTTGATTTGTGAATGTAGTTTAAGATTTTACAACCAATACATGCACATGCAAGTCTAAATGCACTTTCACCACTGTTACACCCACAAAGTACAACAACTTTTGACTCTAATATCACTTAAAAAGCTGAAAATTACAACTCAATGGAGTCCTTAACACAAATTGTCAAACACTTCGTACATAAAAGAAATTAAATTACAAACACTTTTGTACACATTGCACATGTAACTTTGCTATCATCAAATACACATCATTAACAACACAAATTCAAGCTCAATGACTCGCAATAAATAGAGTACCAAAAGTGCAAAGGGAAGCCAACAATTAAACCCTTAATACCTGGATCACAATTCGGATCTTTTAGGGACTTAGTGTTGTCTAATAGATAAAAGCACGGATGGCTCAAACTCAAGGGCCTACCTTACTCACGCACACTAATGGGAATCTTGATATCATTAATTCACCACTTTATGTTGTTCAAAATGAGAGAGAGGGAGAAATTCTTGAGGTCCAAAAAGGTTTGGTGAAGCTTAGAAAATCAGCTCATAAGAAAAACAAGTTATATGATAATGTAGTGAACTATATTGTGGCATAACATCAAAGAATTTACTCCAACTCCAATCTCCAGCTAATAATGATTAAATTGCCACAAATGCACACTAATGTTTATGGGTAGAAAGCTCCAGATCTCAGGGAAAAATCAGGGGTCGTAACTCAAAGGTAAATAGTGTCTAGTGATCGAGTTGATGACTACACAATTTATATTACGAAGTATACATGCATAGTATGAGAAGGAATATAGTGGGTCACCAAAGCTTAATGAAATGGAATTAAAATGTTGCTGTAAGTGATGAATTGCAACAAAGAAATAAAAGGGATAAGGCTTAGAAAATGAAAGAAAATGGATGAGGTGATTACCTTGAAGGAGTAGAATTAGACACCATGAGATTTGGCAAACACCTTCATTGACAAGGAGCTTCATCAAGGAAAAGGGAAGAGACTCAAGGAACGCAATTCTCTCTCCTCAATGGCTCAATAAGTGTGTAGAGAATGAGGATGAGCAAGGGTATTTATAGCCTTGAGGTGGTGAGATATTTTGAATCAGTCAATCTTAGCCCTTAATGTTGTTTAGCTATGGCATATGAGAGGGTTTTTATCCTAGCCACACATCTATGCCTAACTATCAAGATTAATGGATGTGATTTGCACACCATTATCATAAAACCCTAAATTAACCATTTTACCAAATTGTACTTCTCCATAAAATGTTTCCTTATAAGTCCTTTAATCATTCCATAACTGACCATGAAACTGTAAGAAAATAATAAACCATCATAAAAGTAGGGATGTGCCCTTGTGATAACTGAAAAAAGGTATTCCGACGAGGATAATATCCCATAGATTGGCCAATCATAATGTGTGTCATTCTATAAACTTCACGGGTTTAGCCAATGAGATTGTCATACAAAAGGCTACTTTAAATTTTTTTTTTTTTCATGGATTAGGGTTTAAGCCAAATTATCATGTCTAGTTTTAACCCTTGGCACATGCTATCAAATTCACATGTGTCAAATTCCCATGTGACAAAATAATTTGACTTAAGTTATAAAATAAACTTTTATTAAAAACTACAAAACTTAAGTGAACAAAAAATATAAGTTCAAAAATAGGTTCTAGAAATCATGTCCCATCCATCTTCAATAACTAGAGCCCTTCCACATTGCACATCCTGTTCTTCTAGTGTGATGAGTTGATTTTGTGGTTTTGCAAATCATCATCAAAACCTTTTCCCAACTATTTGGAGTCGGCTGCATGAATCTTTGTCCGCCATTTTGCTCTATCAAGAGCCATACCCTCAGTGAGGCCATGACATGTCTTTTCTCACTACTTTCAACCATGTCCTTTTGGGCCTATCCCTTGTCTTTTTTTAGCCTTCCACTTGAACCAACTCGCACCTCCAATTAATTGTTGTACTGGGCCAAAACCTTGTCACACTACGTTTAAGGGAATCTGCATTATTTCATTTAAGGGAATGTCACTCTACGTTATTAGCTTCTTTAATCGGCGCAATTTTTTAATTGCCATTTTAATTCTCTAGGAACAACTTGCTTTGGTACCAGTTGATGCGGATCTTAATATTTATTCTGAAGAAAAATATTTGGATTTGCAAAAAATTAAACAATAACACAATTTCTACATCAAAGTTCCTAGAAAAGGAATTCATGATAAGAGGAGAAGTACCACATGCTTCATTGTTTCTCCATTGAAGAATGAAATGAAGAGTAAACTAAAAATCCCTTACAGTGATCCAAAACAATTATTTAAATATCCCTAACACCCTACAAATTCTTTCGAGATCTTAGCCATGCATTCCCTTCTATTCTATGCCTTCCATTCTTATCCTAAACTTGTTAAGTAACACTAAATTAAAATATACCAAAAATAGGCCCATAATTGGATCCAAAAAACTCCCATGTGAGACTTCTAACAAGATTCATAAAAAAGCATCTTGTGATAAAATCCCAAAGATAGTCATGCTCCACCAAAAATCTAAAAATTAAATCCAAGGTTGTTCTGCCTATATCTTTGATCTATTGTGGATCTTAGGGTGTGTTTTAACTTATGGAAGACGCGGTTTTAGAAACCGTCTTCTAGAACTATTGCACTTCCCTTACTGATAACAGGGAAGTTTTTCAGTAAAGTGGAGCGGTATCTGCCCTCCTTATATTGAAGGCTAAAAAGTGGATACCGCCAGTTCCATGGGGGACCATGGAACTAAGGGTATCCACTTCCCTGGAAGACATGGTTTTTAAAACCGTGCCTTCCAGATATCAAACACGCCCTTAATGTTTTCTGTAGAGGAAAATTTTAGGATAGACATCAAATAGTATCACAGGGAGTCATTTTAAAGGATTCAAGTTGCAACTTAAAGATGCCATCGCTAAGACGAGCTACTGCTGCAGATCAACTAGAGTGTGTCTACCTGCACGAAATAGTAATCATGGTCATACAAAGACTAGAACCACTCACATTAGAAGGGCACTCTTCCACCTTCTATTTGATTGAAGATTTATCATGCCAACAGCTTTCCCCACTACTACCGAAATCCGAAGTAACCCTATTGCGACCACTATGGTTGCGATCTTATGGTATGTGTGTTTGGAGAGGAACAATAGAGCCTTTAAGTCACTTTATCTGAAGGACAGAATAAAATCTATTTGGATGATAACGATGAAGGAATTTGGGAGTATTCAAGAGCCAATTTTGAAACCCATTGGATTGCCTTAGCTACAGGCAGACTACTAAAGTAAACAAGGAATGCAACTTGGACACCCCCAGCTGAAGAGGCAGTTAATTAAATTTTGACAGAATTGCTTGGGGTGTTGGGGATGTTATTAGGTATTCAAGGGGCATATGTTGACTGTGGTAATGAGGCCGAGGTTGGGGCATTGCTGACTGGCCTGATATGCTTGGATGCTAATAAGAGGAGGTTAGAAATCGAGGGGGGGATTCAAAGAGTATGATATATTGGGGGAGCAAGTGACCTGATTTTGCGTGGCACTTTTATAATTTTTTCAGGAAAATTTTGGCCTCAATAGCAACCTTACTGTTACATTCTGAACCTTAATGTTGCATTCTGACATGTCTGACTGTTACATCCTGAACCTTTTACATGAACATCCTGAACCTTCTACATGAACTAGTTGGAGTTTTAATTAATCCAAAACTAAAGAAACAAGCTTTGATGCCATATTAATTCAACTTGTAGAAGAAGGGAATGTTGATGTGCTTGTATTGATTCCTCTGTTGACATACTTTGATCCTTATCATGAGGTATTCTCCAAAAGATTTTGTATAATTATGAACTGTAGTACCATCTACATTTTGAGAACCAGCAAACAGCTTGAAGAAGAGAATGGATCCAAGGTGTGACCCATCAACCTCACTTCAAAATTAGTTTTCTCACTGCAATACTAGAAAACTTGAGAACAAGGGTTTTTGTGCCAGGACATTTGGTGCTCATATTTTGGGAGGCATATTTGGTTCTCTTTTTGTCAAAAGTCTTCTATTAGGGGTTTTGGACTTCTATTTTGGACTTCATTCCATTTATTACATTTAAAATCAGAGGAGAAGGGAATGAGCAGCTAGGATTTTGTGGGACTTTATGGGAGTTGCTAGATAGGGAACTTTGGTTTATTCTAATTTTTCTGTTATAAAGAAACCTGGAAGTCCTTTTCAGTTGTTTTCTTATTTTGAATTACGCCTTTCATAGTTTTCTTTAGGAGTTTGCGTAGTAGGTATACGAGTTTGCGTAGGAGTTTTGAGCTCTTGAAATCCAAGTATTTTTTACCAAAAAGCAATGATATTCTGATTGGCCTTGTTGGACTAGGAACAGGGTGTGGAACTTAGTTACCAGGATCTCTTGACATGGGTGGTGATCCCACTCTGGGAGTGGGATCCCCATGGTCATGGAGTGGGATTGTGGTTAGGTCACGATCCCATATTGGGGTGCGTGTTCCTAGACCAATAAGAATTGGTTAACAAGTTAATACACGCATATTCTTTATATTTTTAAAGGAAAATAATTAATAAATGCATATCAAGTAAAAAAGAACGAAAGCAATAAATGCATATCCATCAACCCAAAAAAAAAAAAGAATATCCAAATCCATTTTCAGTAAATTGTTTAAAAGAAAAGAGACTCTTAAATCTGAATCAATCACTAAGAGACTTTTAAATCATCTTGTTAAAATGTGTACAAGGGAGAGGATGATCTCTTTGCTGTCTCTCTTTAATAGTTCTAAATTTAATTGCTTGATCTAGCTCTTACTTTAGGTTTTATTTTCTAAATTGAAATGTGTCCTCATTGCACTTGGAGGATGGATCACCTTAGCATCTCCCCATGTGGGAGAAAGCAAGTCATAAATTGAAGTGAAGGGAAATACTGAAGGAAAGGCAGTATTTGATGATAATAATATCCTTTATTACGAGTTGCAATGGAAGGTCAAATAAATATCATTAGAATATAATTCTGAAGGACTTATATGATGAGACTCAAATAAATAAAGGATGTAATTATCTATTCTGTATAATATTTCTAATATATTGATTTTGCATCTAAATATTTTTTAAAATTGTTATTAATATTTTATTTTTAAGAATATCTCTTTTCATATGCATTTATTGTATAGACGCCTTCATGCACTCTCCAACTAGGGAACTCCTACCAAGCAACGATCCCCAGCTCCCCACCTTCACCTCCTCTTGCCTCCAATAACTGTGGCCTGGAACCTGTCTAATCCTATCATTGCACCAATGAATTTGTCTAAGCTAGTTTGAATCGGCACAGACCGTTATTAACCGGTGTTTTATATTTGTGACATTTTTTCATATTGGTCTGACCAGTGAACTACTTGATCTGAACTGTTTGGACAGATTCAGTACTCTCACCTGTTGGATGACCTGCTTGACCTGGTAAAATTGGCAAAACGTAATAGGATCTGCGACACCTCTTAACCCCTCGTTATCCGATTATGATTTTTTTTTCCCAAGTTGTTCTCTTTTTCAATCCGGAATTCTGGATGCATGGTGAACTTATTTGGGGACAATTGCCTTGTAATTCAGTTGTTTTTCATGAATTTCTCAGTGCAAATTGATCTCCTATTGAAGTGGAAGTGATGTGCTTTTCTTTAGTGATATGATGGCTCATTTTCAGTCATTTATTCTATGTTTGACTGGTTTCCTTCTGTTGAAGTTGCCATTCCTTTTTAACTATTAAGTTGCCATTCCATGTGAGATTGCTTATGTTATTGTATGTTTTCGATTGTGATGCTCCTTATTTTATGGCAGCTGTATGCTTTGATTTTGGTTGCAGTAGAAGAGCACCTCTGAACATTACCATGATGGTTTTTGTCCTTGTGATATATAATCGCCTGCTTTTTGTGAAATTAGGAATAGCTACAAGGTTTTCATTTGACATTTTACTGAGAACTAGGTGTGTATCGCAGATCTACATCTTGTTATACAAAGAAGTTGCTCTTGCTCTGAAAATCAATAGTGTGTATAGTAAGCGGCGACTTCTTAGTATTCATGAAAATGTGAAAGTTCTTCGGTATCCTGATCATTTCTCTACTGGTGTCTATCTCTGGTAAGCAGATAACTCTGAACTCTGGCTTTGCCTATCATACTATTTTGAAAATTTCTTGCCCGTTGATGTATCACCAGCACTTTCAATCATAGAATCAGAGGACCAGTACTTTTTATCAATTTTAGAGAGTAGTGAGTGCAGTTGCTAGTAAAATGTTTATCGTACTTGCAGGTCCCATCATGAAAAGATCGTGATCGTTGATTATCAGGTTTGCTTTATTGGAGGTCTGGATTTATGTTTTGGTCGATATGACACGGCTGAACATAGGATTGGTGATCACCCCCCTTCAATATGGCCTGGGAAGGATTATTACAACCCCAGGTAATTATAATACCTTCTTATAGATATTAGTGCTGTTTAATTCTTCAGGTTATTGACTTGTTCAATTTATTTTGAATACTTAAATGTCATTTATTCCACTGATGAATTCTAGTTCTTACCCGATAAAGAAGATCTTGAGAAATAATTGTGTTATATTTGTTCCTTTAATTTAGGGAATCTGAGCCGAATTCCTGGGAAGATACAATGAAAGATGAACTGGATAGGGAAAAATATCCTCGCATGCCGTGGCATGATGTTCACTGTGCGCTCTGGGGACCGCCTTGTCGTGATGTTGCGAGGCATTTTGTTCAACGATGGAACTATGCAAAGGTTGAAATCCTCTATGTTTAGCAATTTATTATCTGAGTTCTGAATTCTTTCTCATCCTGATCATTCTCTTTCCTTTCCTTTTCTTTTTTGGTTCCACCTTCAGAGGAACAAGGCTCCCAATGAGCAAGCAATTCCTCTTCTTATGCCTCATCATCATATGGTTATACCACATTACATGGGGCATAGCAAAGAGATGGATACCAAAAATGGGAGACAAGAAGAACAGCATCAAGGAATAACTCGGCAAGATTCATTTTCCTCTCGATCATCATTCCAAGACATCCCATTGCTTTTGCCTCAAGAGGCCGATGGTCAAGACAAGGGCAGCGGAATTCCAAAACTGAATGGCGTGGATATGACTCATAACTTACTTGACAATAAGAGCCTAAGCTTTCCCTTTAGGCGGTCCAAGGTTGAGCGTCATGTGCCAGATATGCAAATGAGAGGATTTGTGGATGACCAAGATACCATTCATCCTCATCAGCAAATGTCATTGGATTCATCCACACAACAAAATCTAATACATCTGGATAAGGAATGGTGGGAAACACAAGAACGGGGTGATCTGGTTGTTTCTGTAGAAGAAACTGGACAAGTTGGTCCCCGCACCCCCTGTCGTTGTCAGGTTTGTTTCAGTTTTAATATTCTTTTGGCATGCAGGGCTTTACTTTAGACATAATTAAGGGAGTAAGGGCTATTCTATTTGAGTTGTGACCCATTCAGTGCTTCTTTTTTGTTAGCAAATTCAGCTTGTTGAATCCTTTTATTTATAGTTTTAGGGTTCTGTTCTCATCATTGTGTAAAATTAAATTGAATGAATTTTGCTTGCAAATACTATGGTTTGAGACTCTTAGTAAAGTCTTTAATGAAATTTATGCTTGACTCCTTTAATGTAAGAGACCATTGAAATCATATCCATTGGCTGGTGTAATAAATTAGATGTTTTATTTTGTTTCAGTCTCTCGCCATGAATTGTCCGTGGGATGTAGCATTTGTCAAGATACAGTGCTAAACTTCTTTTACTGAGTTTTTAACAAGAAAGCACATTGTCCATGCTTAACACACTCAATGGTTTGCATGATAATTTGTTTTCTGTAAATTGGTTAGGAGTACCCAATTTAGTTGTGGTATAGTTGATGCTGACTAGTGTAAAGTACTTACCACCCAAACACCCCATGCCCCTAACACCCCCCACCCCCCCCCAAAAAAAAAAGACACAAAATATTAAAAAATAAAAATAAAAAAATGAAGAAGAAAAGAAAACATATATTAGATCAATATGATCGCAGCCCAATATCCATTCAATTGTTCATTTCGGTTATTTGAATATTTTCTTTCTGATTTGCAATTTTCATGGAGATATGGCAGTCACATGCAGTTCAATAAATAGATTCATGATCCTCCTACCTTTGTTTAGGAGATTTTTGAGATATCTCTCTCTCTCTCTCTCTCTCTCTCTCTCTCTCTTTGAGTTGTTTCCATATGTCTATGCTTTCATGCTTTTCTCTCTTCGATTTATTTTAGGAACTTTGTTATGCCTCTTTTGTCTGGACTGAGGAATAGTGTGTTCCTGTTTCAAAGTTTAGGCATAAAATCCTGAGTTTAAAAATGACAAGTCAGCTGGTTGGTACCAAGTCTATTGAGACTCACCCAAGTGTCCCAAGTCAACTCAGATGAAGACCATGACATGTCCCAATCCGAGTCCATTGTTTTGAACTAATTGTATTTTTCTTCGGCTTTTAGAGTTAACCATGCTTAAATAGCATTTGTGTATTCACAATAACTTACATATGCATGTGTGATACCTTCTTGTGCAATGAAGAATCTGAATTACTGTGGTCTAGAAGCCTGTATTAAACCATATGATAATTTCCATCATTTAAATGTAAAACTCAGTTTGATATCTCATTTGGTACCAGTCGTTTTTCATCTACACACAGGATTGGAAGCATGTTTCAGCTTTTATTGCAAATGAAACTTCTATTACATCATATACATTTATGTCGTCTTTGTATGAAATCATCGTAACTTTTGAGCAGAAATCCTGTTGATTATTTTTAGATATGAAAATGCCCTGGAATTTGGTTCATATTCTGCTTAGGACTATGGTTTGCAAACACTATACCTCTAGTTTTCTTGAATTATGTGGCATTCTGATTTCTATGAGGTGTTATATTTGTATTTTTGGGTGTTATATTCCTTTTTTTTTTGTGTGTATTTTCATTTTGGGATCTGCATTTGTCTGGTATATATAACTGTCTTTGATGTGCAGGTTGTCAGAAGTGTTGGCCAATGGTCTGCTGGTACAAGTCAAACTGAGGAGAGCATACATAATGCTTATTGTTCACTAATTGAAAAGGCGGAGTATTTTGTGTACATAGAGGTGATTATTCGGCATACCTAACTTCAAGTTCCACAATAATAGTTATCGTATCATCTTTCTACCTTCTGAAATATGTATAAGCTTTTTTAGTTGTTCATTTTAGGATATTTGTTTTGCAACAGATAATTGAGCTATATGTCATAGATTATGCAGCTGAGTAAATCATCGAAAACAAATTCTTCTGTTGTCCTCTACAGCTTGGTTGCATCTAGAAATCTATATTGGTCATGTTAAAGGTGAACAGGGGCCTACTTCGAATTCATACACTACATGATAAGGAATGGTCTTGAATTAAGCCGTTAAAAAGCACAAAGCTTGAGTTGTGTGATGACCAGCTTGTGCAATCCTACCACATCTCTTGTGGGACTAATGAGGTTGCTGATGCTTTAGCTAAGGAGATGTGAGATGCTCCAATATTCTTTATTTGTTTGTATTGTTACATTTCCGATTTGGGTTAGTCTCTATAGTCAAATTCAATCACAATAGAGAGACAAGAGTCCAACAGAAGCTTCCCTTCTCTCAATCATGGTTTGATGGGCTAACTTTATAAGATGCTCTTTTTTTCACCCTTACAATGGTGGCCGTCATACAACCACATTTGAAAATCTAATATAAGCTTTCACACCATGATTGTGGTTCCCATAATACACTCTCAATTCCCTAAAGTAAAGATTCCTGGCAGCGAAATGCGAGATTTCAATATACTCTATGGCTGACAAGATTTCAATGCATATGCTGGAATCTGGTTCTTGTAACATCAACACCCTTGTGAATGATGTCGACATACATGCAAGGCACTTTGAGCTACTTCGATTCCGATTTTCTTCTGGAACCATTGTGTACTTTGAACTTGTAAGTGGATGTGAACTGAGATTTGTGGAGAGTCCTAGATAGATGCTTATTTGGTTGTTGAAGATTGTATGTGTTCCTTGTGGAGATGCGGCTCTTGCTTTGGAAATAGTTCTTATTAAGAAAACATTTATACAAAGGTTTTTAGTTTCTAACCTTCTATAGCGCATAGCATATATGGTAATTGGCAAAAATGCCCTAATTTGGGTTGATACTTTGTAGAATGACTTAATATTACAAAGATGTATAGATTAAAAAAAGAATACTATAAATATGTATGACCCTTGCAACGCTCTATTTACAAATCAGGATAGATTAGTTCTAAAAGCTTGAGTGACACTTTTGTACTTGCATGAATGTTAAGGAATACAAAAGTAATTTGTAGCTATCTCTCCTTTATTACTTCACTTGATTTTGCATGACTGGGATTCTCTTTTCTCTCTGAATGAGTGTAGTTTATCTGAAGTGGCATTGGAAGTGGAGAAATCGACTTTTTGAACTGAATAATTTCAGAGACCAACTAGATGACATCTCCTTTTGCAATTCACTTGAACTGACATCAGAAATGGACAAATTTTATTCACGAATTCTGTAATATTATGGACAAGATTTCCTTTTTTTTCTCACATTGTGGCTTATTTTATTCTGCTTTATAAGTTTTAGGGCCTTCCAATAGCATGTTATCATAATCAAGAGGCATGCTGAATTATTGGCTTTAATTATAGTCAAGAGGTATGCTGAATTATTGGCTTTAATTGTTTCATTCAGACGAGTCAATAAGCACAAATTCATTTTTTTTTTTTAAAAAAAAGGTTATTTGGACAAGCACTCTACTTCAGAGTAGTATCTTGTTCATCAACTTCCTGTTCATCTCCGATTTTCTCCCTAGTTGATGGAGTATTTATTTCAAAGGAGAGAAGTTTATTTTCCTCTTCTGCTCTGGCCTCCAATTTATTCCAAGAGAATTATGTTGTTGTTGTGCATATTCCTCAACCATTTTGTGTCTCCAAATTCGCTGGTTGAGTCTTTATGCTTAACTCTAGGGCTGAAATGCATAACCACTTATTTTGTTTTGAAACTGTTGACTATAATGCATAACCACTTATTGCAGTTCAGTGTGGATTAAAATCAATAAAACTGCTAGTTTATTTTATCATTGTTTGAATACAGTGAAAATTATTCATGCAAACCTAACTGCTCTAATTGACTATAATGTGATTCATCCAGTTAGATCTCTTTCTTTTAATTATTTTCCATTTCTTCTACTTTCATTTGTGTGGTGGTATTGAATATTATAAATCCTTGTCGCTTTTTTCTTTTTTAATCAATTATCAGTCTTGAAGCTATTTTTAGAGATACCTCCTCATTATATTATTCATTGATGCTGAATAACGACATTGATGTGGATTATTTCTTTAATATTTTGTCAAACACTTTGGAATGGAGCTATTTTTCCCTATGAATTCATTGACATGAATGGCATCTGATATTGTCATGGATAATATTACTGAAATTTTTAAATTAACTTTTTGGATCTGCGTATGCAAGTCTGGAATCCATAGGTAGTTCCTGTTACTAATGAGTTTTTTATTTGATCGGCCAATTGCTTTACAGAATCAATTTTTCATATCAGGTCTTTCTGGAGATGAAATAATCAGGAACCGTGTTTTGGAAGCACTATATAGACGCATTATGCGAGCAAATAGTGAACAAAAATGTTTTAGGGTCATCATAGTAATTCCTCTATTGCCTGGATTCCAGGTATGATAATTACTGCCACCATTTTACATGTAAGGTGCTTTAGTATCAACTCTGTGTATGATGAACTTATTAATTTTACAGGGGGGATTAGATGATGGAGGTGCCGCATCTGTTAGAGCTATCATGCACTGGCAGTATCGAACTATTTGCAGGGGACCACATTCATTATTGCAAAATTTGTATGATGTACTTGGTCCTAAAACACATGATTATATCTCCTTTTATGGTCTTAGAACTTATGGGAAACTTTCCGAGGGTGGTCTTGTGGCTACCAACCAGGTGAAATCTCTTATCCTCAAATGCCCTTCCTGGATCTTCTAGTACCTGCATCAGATTGGGTTAAGATGTAGTAAAAATATTCCATAAATAATGATGATTGGTCTTACAAATTGTTTATGCTTTAGACTGTATGACCCTGCATTTAACTTATTTTTCAAGCTCATGTATTTCTATGGTATGTGATTTTTATAGGAGATGCTTAACAATGCTTGTTAAGGTGGGAGGCGCTTGTATGACTTAAGAGATTTTTCTTTTTTTGTCAGATTTATGTTCACAGCAAAGTAATGATAATAGATGACCATGCAGTCCTGGTAGGTTCTGCTAATTTAAATGACAGGAGCTTGCTTGGGTCGAGAGACTCTGAGGTATGACATTATCCTTTCTTGTTTGCAACATGTGCATTGTATTGAAATTCATTTTATGAAAGCAGTTTGTGTACTGAACTATGCAATTAATCTTCAATGTGATACTAATTTCAGCAATGAACGCATCCAATGTATCGTATAACTGCTGGATGTTATTGATGGGCTTAGTTACTAGTTGCATTGGCCCAATGAACTAAGCTTAGTTCGTATTGGGCTTGATATTGATCTGGGCTCGAGATGGATCTGCCAGTATACACCTCAGTGGTCAACTGTCGCATACATAGATGCTACAAGGAATTCCAAAAATATGAAATTGATTTAATTGGAAAGAATAAAGTTATATAATAGCCAAGCTGGAAATCTGATGCAGTAGTGTTTCAAGAAACAGATGTGGAAAACATGAGTTATCCCATTTAGATTTGCAGAAACTTGGCGACCCATATGAATAGGTATTGGGGAATTGTTACTTGTTTGTGAACAGACAGGTGTTCCTGTAAACATTGGCATAGACTTGTGTAAGAAAGTAGCCTCTATTGATCTAAAAGGAACATAGCTCCTTTGTTTTCTCATGGGAATTCCATGGAAAGTGGACTTGAGCTACCTGAAATGGAGGCGCACTTGGAAGGTGCTTCAAAAAGATCAAATGACAAGACACAGACTGAAGCTGGTTCGTGGTTCTATAGCATTGTTATCATTTTTGGAAGGGAGGATATTCTAAAACAAATATATAGATGATTTTGGATGTGGCTTGTTCTGAGGAAATTTAAGAGAATGCTAAGAGACCAAAATACTTGACGACACAAATATTGTTATGTGAGAATATCAGGAAGAGAGACATACAAGTCGTGGAAATCGACATACATCCAATGCAGATACCGCATTGAATTAACTTCATCCCCATACAAATACACAGGATGTGCTGTCATAAGATGTCAATGATCTCGATAAGATGTTATATTTAATTAATGAGAGCATTGATTGAAATCTATGAGCCCATAGATTGTAAAATTTCAATTCATGCATTAAATTGTGTGAGAACTTTCACATATTTAGTTGAAGATTCTTTGAAGAATGTAAGTAAATGTGGAACCCATTACAGCTAGAAAATTCCGTCTTGCATTAAAGAAGCTCCTAATCTCAGTCACTGTCTCATGGAATGTAGGACTTGTCCAATTGTGAAGTAGTAAAAAAGGTATATGTGCAGTCTTATTGATCATATTCCTTAGCAAACATTGTATCATCATCGTCATCAAAGCCTCTTCCCAACTAATTGGGGTAGGCTACACGAATCTTAGTCCGCCATTTTGCTCTATAAGGGTCACCCTCAGTGAGGCTATAAGTCCCCATATCTTTTTTCACTACTTCTAACCATGTCCTTTTTGGCTTACCCTTTGCCTTTTTTTAGCTTTCCACTTGAACTAACTCGCACCTCCTAACAAGTGTGGTAATGGGTATGCGCTGCACATGGCCAGCCCGCCTGAGTTTACTTTTTCTGATCTTATCGCCTATTAGTGCCACATCTAAGTTCTCTTGAATGTATTCATTTTGAATTCTATCATTTCTTATCTTTCCACTCATCCATCTCAACATCCTCATCTCAGCTACACTCATTCTGTGGATATGTTGTTTCTTGACCGCCCAACATTCTGCCCCATAAGGCAAATCTGGTCTCACAATTATCTTATAAAACTTGGCTTTCAGCTTCATTGGTTTGCGATGACAAATATCTCCTGTTGCACATCTCCACTTCGGCCACCCAGCTTGAATTTTATCTGTGACATCTTTCCTCAATCTCTCTATTTTCCTGGATTATTAACCCAAGATATTGAAAATGCACTCTTTTTGGTATTTCTTGGTTGTTAATTTTAACTATTTCCTTGTCTCTATTCCTTTTATTACTAAACTTGCATTTCATATACTCAATCTTAGTACGGCTAATTTTAAAACTTTTAGATTCTAGATCATTCCTCCAATGTTTTAACTTTGTGTTGATGCCATTTTGGGTCGCGTCATTCAAAATTATGTCGTTCGCAAACATGCACTATGGTACCCTATCTTGTTGGTGCCTAGTTAAATCGTCCATAACCAAGACAAAGAGGTATGGGCTCAATGCTGGCCCTTGATGTATGCCTATTGTTACCGAAAACTCACTCGTCTCTCCACTAATTGTTCGTATACTAGTTTGCACTCTCTCCTATATATCTCTCACCAAGTAGATATAGTGTCTGGAGACTCCTTTCTTTTCCAACACCCACCAAAATAAATCTTGAGGTACTCTATCATAAGCTTTCTATAGATCAATAAAGGCCATGTGGAGGTCTTTTCACTTAGCCATAACCTTCTCAAGCAGTTGCCTAAGTAGGAAAATAGGCTTAGTTGTTGATCTCCCTGGCATAAAACCGAATTGAATTTCTAATACACTCGTTTTATTCTTTAGTTGTTGCTCAATCACTCTCCCCCACAGCTTCATACTATGGCTCATGAGTTTGATCCCAAGATAGTGTATTTCTCGTTTGTTCTTGTAAATAGGTACCATAGTACTTTTCCACGATTTATTTTGTATTTTCTTTGTTCTCAATACCTTGCTGAACAACTTGGTTTAACCGAAAATGCCAATCTCCCTCATGCGCTTCTAAACCTAATGGGATACCATCTGGTCCTAAAGCCTTCCCTATTTTCAGCATCTTTAAAGCTTCTTTCACTTTTGATATCCTAATCCTATGTATGTATTTATGACCTCCACCCTCATTCATGCCAACGGTTCCTTCTACTGTTATGTTCCCAATGTGTTCGTCATTAAATAATCGTTAAAAATAATAATAATTTTTGAAAATAAACTCTCCACCGTTCGTTGACCTCTTCATCCTTCATCAAGACCTTTTGTTCCTCACTCTTAATGCATTTAATATGGTTTAGATCCCTACACGTTTTCTTTCTCATTTTTTCTAATTTGAAAACATTTTTTTCGCCTTTTATTCTTCCTAGTTTACTATTTAAATTATCATGGGCCTTAAGTTTAGCCTTACTATTTGTTTAGCGCTTCTCTTAGCATTTTTATATTTTTCTAAGTTTTGATCATTTCTATTACATTGCAAGTTTTATAACATGATTGTTTTTCACTAATGTCCTTCTGAACCTCATCACTCCACCACAAAGTTTCCTTCTCAGAATATTTTTTTCCTCTAGATTCTCTTGAAACTTCTATTGCTACTTCTTAGTACAGTGAGCTATCTCATTTCATATATTATTAACATCATGCTCAGAGTTCCATTTTCCTTCTGTAACTAATTAATCCTTAAATATGTCTATTTTTTCATTGTTTAAATTCCACCACCTAGTTTGGACACCTATTAATTTCACCACCTAGTTTGGACATCTATTTTTTCACCACCTAGTTTGGACACCTATTAATTCCACCACCTAGTTTGGACATCTATTTTTTCATTGTTTAAATTCCACCACCTAGTTGGGCCACATGCTTGGAGGCCACTGGGGTTAATAAGTATGTGCTGCCCCAGTTTGGCAAGACAGTACGGCAACCGAGGCCCTCGAGCTTTGGTGGAGGATCACAAACAAGGGGTACTGGGACGTGGAACACCCTTGGAAAGGGGAGGGCGGTCGTTGGAGCCAAGATACAAGGCAGCAGAAAATGGCTATGACCCCTCCCTTAGGCAAAATCTTTCTCTTGCATGTCTTTATGCAAACGTCTATAACCACTAGCCTATGTTGGGTAGTCAAACTCTCTCTTAGGATAACCTTACAGTCTTTACATGGTGGTCGATCTACCTTCTTATCTAGGAAGAAGTCTATCTGGCTTTCATGTGATTCACTTTTATAGGTCATTAAACCTTCATCTCACTTTTAAAAGTAAGTGTGTTATTGCTAGGTCATGGGCCATAGCAAAATCTAGCGTCACCCGTCTTATTTCTTTCACCAAATCCATATCCCCCATGTGCCCCTTCATATCCTCTACTATCCCTTCTTACATGGCTATTTAAGTCCCCTCTTAAAAAGGTCCTCTCTCCATTTGGTATGTTTTGGATTAGTCCATCCATGTCCCCCCAGAATTCTCTTAATTCTATCATTTAGTCCTACTTGTGCATAAGCACTAATTATGTTAATTATCTCTTCCCTTAATACAAGTTTAATTAATAGGAGCCCATCACATACTCTCTTGAAATTAACTACTTTATTTTTAAATTTTTTGTCTACTATTGTGCCTACGTTATTTGTATTATTATCCTTTCCTGTATACTAAAGTTTATACCTATCTGTTTTCTTAGCATTTTTCCTTTCCACTTAGTTTCATGTAGACAAGCTATGTTTACTCTTCTGCATCTTATTGTATTCGCTAACTCCATACTCTTGCCTGTCAACGTCCATACATTTCATCTGGCTAGACGAATCTTATTTTCTTAGATTAGCTCCTTTATTTGCACTTGTCCAGAATATCGTGGGAACCCTTGCTATTTTTCATCGCAATCAGCCGGCGTTGCAATGCGTCGCTTCTGAGTAACGTCCTAACTAACCCTTGCTCGTTTCTCATTGTACCTAGGTTCCGGTATAGCAGGTCATTTACAGCGAATGCCCTAGCATAAGCAGATAACGTGTATTTTGAATTCATGAAAAGTTTTGGTAAAGTTTTACGTTGGCTGCCTACTTATCACAACTCACCTCATTCAACCTTCTTAGACCAAGCAAGCATTGTATAATATTGGGAAAATGACTCCGTCCACCCTCCTTGGAATTTGTTCACTCAGACCTTAGAGTCTTAAGTAAACCCCATAGCACCCCCACCCCTCGCACCAAAAAAAAAACAAAAAACAAAAAAAAAAAGATAAAAAACCTTTTTACACGTGTAATTTACTAACATTCCCATGTGGCCATGTTCTTTTTAATGCTAACAACCCATCCATTTCTCTCATTCACTCTCCCTATATGCCTTTCCCCAAAACTAATTCCTTTTTGCCCCTTTACAAACTCTCTCTCTTTCTATCCCCACACACACTCTGTCTATTTATCCCCCGAAATAGTGCATGAAGGGGTAATAAATATATATGGAAAGAGAGAGTGTGTGAAAGTGTAGAGGAGTGTGTGCAATGGTAGAGATAGAAAATCAGTTTTGGGGAAAGGGTAGAGAGAGAATGAGAGAAATGGATGGGGTTGGTATTCTTAAAAATTAGAAGGGCATCTTAATACATTATATGTGTAAAAAGGTGGGGAGGGGTTACTAGTCTGACTTATTAAAGTGGGATGGTGATGTATGAGAAGAAACATAGAAAATCAGCAAGAAGCACCTTTACACAAGTAATTTTGGAGAAACCCTAAGGCTTTCTTCCACCTATGGCTCAAGCCTTAGGCTTCTTTTACAAGACAAAGTCTTTCTTTTCTTAAAGAGGAAAACGTGAATGCCTCTCCAGTCCATCTATGCCCTTATGTATAATAGAAAATTATTGTTTTGGACAATATTTGTCCATACAATTAACTTTTGACCAAAAGTCCTAATTTAAGTTATTGTAATGACTAATTTACCCCTGTGAATAGTACTTATGAATAGTACTTGTGAATAGTTCCCATGAAATAACCAAGAAAATATAAAAATCCTAGAATCCCTAAAAAACTAAAAACCCTAGAAATGAACCCTAAAAGCAAACTATAATATACATCCTTTAAAGTTGAATAAAAATAAAGAATAAGAACAATTTTTCCCTCCATCAGATGGGGTCTAGGGGGTTTACTTGGAACTGGGTTCTAAGTGGACAACAAATTCCAAGGTGGGGAACTTTCGCCTTTTTCCTTGTAATAATCTAGAAAGAATCTTCTGCAACTATTTTACTTTTCCATTCTGTTTTCTTTTCTTTTTTGTTCCCGAATTCCTTGAGCATGCTTGTGCATTTAATGCTTGCATAATATTGTCCTGAAATATCTTTTTTGCAGATTGGTGTTCTTATTGAAGACAAGGATTTTGTTGATTCTGTCATGAATGGGGGTTCTTGGAAAGCTGGAAAATTTTCTTACAGTCTTCGGCTGTCACTGTGGTCAGAACACCTTGGACTTAATGTGAATGAGGTTTGTAGTTATGAAATTGGCTATGTGATTGCTGTGCTTTCAGTTTCTTTTTGGTAGTTTTTGGTCTTGCACTTCTATTAATTTTTCACCTATGTACTGCTTAACCGTTTTTGCATCATTGCAATGGTTGCACGTCTATTTCATCTTCTTCTGTGGATTTTATGGTTACATTTGAATTATCATACACAAATACAAAACTGATTTGCCAGTATCCCTGCATCATTAATTGGATTTCCATTGGGTTAACTATGCTAGTGGTGAAAATTTTGCTAGTGTGGTCTCTCTTTTCCCTGCTAATATTCTTCTATATCTGGCCACAACAATTTCGTGTATTTCCATTTTCAAAAAAAATAATAAAAAGATTTGGTGTTTTCTTAATTGTGCTTCTTATTGATCATTATATTTGGCTTTCTTTTACCATCTTATGTCTGTAAAGTTCTTGGTATTTGTCCAATTTACAAGTGCAAGAGCAATATAAACAAAAGAAAATGTGCAAACCAGTAATATGGGTTCTTAGCAACTGTTCAAAACAAAGAATCCCTCAGTTTCCATGTTTAAATGACATAAGTACCTCTAACCATTGCTGGAAAAAGGAGCACAACAGTTGATCAAAGGAAATGATTGGTCCTCGCGTGCTGATTCGTTGCGACAAGGTGATTGGAGTGACCTAGAGCTTCAAGCGTCAACATCCTTGCATCCAATCTCACAAACCCTAGCCAGAGGGGAGCCTTGCTCTCAAGAGTACTCTTCTCCAAAACCAAAAAGTCCCACTCCCATGGAACTAGTACTTAAAAGATATCAAAGAAACCCTAAGAGTTCGTACGACATCCTAGCCATTCATTTAATCTAATCTCAACCCTTAAATCCTACCCTAAGTTAAAGAGGTTGCCAAATACCCAACATAATCCATTTCATAAAAGTAAATCCCAAAAGAGTCCCAAATAGTATCAAATATAACCTTTCACTTTATAACAAACCCCTTAAAGGTCCCAAATAGTTCTAAATCCCTCCAACCAACTTAAAAGAAAGTAAAGAACAGGAATGTTGGGCCGCCTTCTCTAGTTTTCAACACAACCTTTTTTTTTTTTTTTCTTTGCATCGTTCTTCCCCCCCCTTAAAAGGAACTCACCTCCGTGCGAGTCCTCCGTTTTGCAGCTTGACAGTTCTATCTATCTCCATGAATTTCTCTTCATTTATTCGTGAGTTCTTCAGAATCAAGTTTCCCCAACCACTTGACAAGTTATTGATAGCCAACTTGAGTTTTGATTTATCTGACTTGAATCACCCTTTCAGTTTTTTCTTTTTGTTTACTCAGAATTTGATCTTGCTACTCTTCTTTGATGAACTCTGTTTCGGGCTCCATTTTACTATGATAACTATAAAGATCAGCTACATTAAAGATGGGAGATATGTCTAGGTCTTGGGGAAGCTCAACTTCATAAACAGTCTCTCCAAACTCTTGTAGTATTTCACATGTACCTACATTCTTGTTCTTTTAAGGTCTAGCAGGGAACCTTTCTTTTCAAAGGATCCCCATGACCCAATCTCCAACTTGATATTCCTTGGATCTCCTATGGCGATCACTAGCTTCTATATATCTTTTGTTCATTTTGTCAACTTCTGACGAACCTGTTCTTGGATTTCCTTCAGATTTTCAGCATATGCCATCACATCATCGCTAACACGAGGTTGTTCCAAGATAGGTATGCGATATACAATGTGATATGGAACTCGCCCATCCACGATCTCAAAGGGGCTCTTTCCAGTAGGCTTGTTCACTGAACTATTATAAGCAAACTTAGCTTGTGCTAAGGTCAAGTCCCACTGCCTAATGTTGTCCCCTGCAAGGCGCTCACAACAAATTTCCCAAGCTCCGACTGACCACCTCTGTTTGACCATTTGTTTTTGGGTGCTAGGCACTACTGTACTATTGATTATTTGCCAACAACTTCCACAAAGTCCTCCAAAAATGACTGAGAAATTCTGTGTCCTTGCCAGATGTAATAGTCTTCGGGACCCCATGAAGTCTCACCACCTCACAAAGGAATAGATTTGCTACATAAGTGGCATCCAATGTCTTCTTGCATGCAATAAAATCGGCCACCTTAAAAAAGCAGTCAACACAAAGAACTTTGGAGAGATGCTCTAGAATCTAAAGGTTTTAAAATTAGTTGGACTAAGACAAAGTATATAGAATGCAAGTTTAGTAATAATAGGAGTAGAAACGAGGAAGTAGTTAAGATTGATGGTTAGGAAATACCAAAAAAAAGCACTTTCGATTTGTTGGGTCAATAATCTTAGAAAATGGAGAGATTGAGGAAGATGTCGCACATAGAATCAAAGCTGGGTGCGCGAAGTGGAGATGTGAAACCGGAATTTTACATGATCGCCGCATACCAATGAACATGAAGGGCAAGTTCTATAGGACAGCTGTGAGACCAGCTTTGCTCAATGGGGCAGAATATTGGGTGGTCAAACTCAAAATACAATATACCCATAGAATGATTGTAGCAGAGATCAGGATGTTAAGATGGATAAGTGGCAAGATGAGAAGGGTTAGAATTCGAAATGAATACATTTGGAAAAATTTAGGTGTGGCACCAATAGGCAATAAGATGAGAGAGAGTAGATTTAGGTAGGCTGGCCATATGTGGCACAGACCCAGTACAGCACCTGCTAGGAGGTACAAGTTAGTTCAAGTAGAAGACTCAAAAAGGGCAAGGGATATGCCCAAAAGGACATGGTTGGAAGTAGTGAGAAAAGATATCGCTGAGGGTATGGCCTTTAATAGAACAGAATGGCAAATCAGAATTCGTATAGCCAATCCCAATTAGTAGGGCAAAGGCTTTGACGATGCTTTGACGATGATGAGAGAAGCAGTTAACAATGACAAATACCAAATCCATAACCCTTTTTGTCCGTGGTAAACCCAAAACAAAAATCCATGCTAATATCAACCCAAGGGGTCATAGGGACTGGTAGAGGAGTATAGAGGCCGATGTTTTCCTGTTGACCCTTTAAACTTGGCATGTTCGACAACTATCAACATGTCTATCGGTGTCACGTCACAGCTTGGGCCAAAAATACCTCTCTGCCACCATATTTAACATCTTGCTTCTACCAAAAAGACCTCCCAAACCTCCTCAATGCAACTCAGCAATCAAGAGCTTTTGCAATGATCCTTCAGGTATGCCTAATTGAGGCCTTTAAAGAGATAACTATTGCTGATTATGAACTCTGCTTCTACTTCCCAATCCCAAGCTTAAAGCCTTCCAAAAATATCTTGGAAATAGGGGTCAATCTAGTATTGCTCTTTAATCACATCAAATCCAACACCATCAGCTGACATGGTCTTCATTATCTTGTATTGCTCTTTAATCACTTCAAATCCAACGACATCAGCTGACATGGTCTGCAACTAATAAGCCCTTCTACTTTGTGTGCATCATCCACCTTGTTTCGCTGGACCGCCTTGTGCTAGAGTATTAAAGTATACTCTTGCAAAAACGCTCCCATTTTGCATTTCTCCTACTTAATTTCTTTTGAGCATTGATGGACCATAGGGCGTCATGGTCTGAATGCAAGATAAACTCTCTTTGAATTAAGTAGTGTCTCCAATACTTAAGAGCTAAGACAATGGCATAGAACTCAATATCATAGGTGGAATAATTTTATCATGCCTCGTTGAGTTGCTCGCTGAAATAGGCGCTAGGCCGCCCTTCTTGGCTCAAGACAGCCCCAGTACTCACCTTGGATGCATCGCAATCCACCTCAAATACCTTATCAAAATCTGGTAAAGCAAGAACCGGTGCTTATGTCATCTTTCTCTTAATCTTTTGGAAACTCTCCTCATTCCTTGAGTTCCAACTGTGACTTCCACTCTTAAGACATTCTGTAATTGGTGCCATTATGATCCTAAAATTTCGAATGAACCTTTGATAAAATGTGGCTAGCCCATGGAAACTCCTTATCTCTGTCAAGGTATTCGGGGTAGGCCAACATGTAATAGCCTGAACCTTGGACTGATCAACGTCTACACCCTTAGCCGACACCACAAACCGTAAATACTCCAGCTTATCAGTCATGAATGTACACTTTTGGAGGTTTACATAAAACTGATTTTGTCTTAAAAGCTGGAGGGTAGCCCTCAAGTGTTCAACATGAGCCTTACTATCTTTGTTGTACACCAAATATTGTCAAAATAGATAACCACGAACCTCCCAGCATATGGTTGATTCATAAATCTCATAAAGGTACTAGGAGCTTTTGAGAATCCAAAATGGAATAACCAGCCATTCATAGAGGCCCTCCCTAGTCTTGAAAGCTATCTTCGACTCGTCTCCTTTAATCATTATTTGGTGGTACCCACTCCTTAAGTCTATTTTGGAGAAGACTTGAGAACCAGATAACATATCAAGCATCATCTAACCTCGGTATTGGAAGTCTATTCTTGACAACTATCGTATTTATAGCACTGCTATCCACACACATCCTCCAAGACCCATCCTTCTTTGGCGTGAGTAAGGCGGTTACAGCACATGGGCTTAGACTCTCCCAAATAAGGCCCTTTTGTAGAAGTTCAGATACTTGCCTTTGAAGCTCCTCGTGCTCTTTGGAACTCATTCAGTAGCGGGGTTATGTTTGGTAGGACAGCGCCTGGTATCAAATCAATGTGGTGTTGAGGGCAACTCATTAGGTAACTCCTCAGAAAAAATGTCCTTGAACTCCTCCAATAACTCCTTCACATCCTCTGGCACCGGTTGTGACCTGATGTCTTCTTTCCCGACCAGCACAAAGATCATCCCGCTCTTTTCACCTTCTCTCAGGAAATCACGTGGATTCAAGAAGCCAGATGAAGCACCACTTCCAGGAAATCATTGGCTTTAAAACAATATTTTTTACAATTTAAGAAGAATGGATAGGTGTTTCTGTCACTATGATGGATAGTTTCCCAATCATATTACCAAGATGACCAATAAGATGTGGCTGGCATCCATGGGGACCACATTACACACACCAATTCTTCAAAGGAAGTTCCAATTGAGAAAGTAACAAGGCATGTTGAAGAGACAGTCAAGGTTGTGGGTGCTTCACATTCTTGAGTTTGCACATGTCTACCATCTCTTGAGCCACGAAATTTTTGCTACTCCCACCAATCAATGATAAGGTTGCAAAGTTATCTTCCATCTGTGTAGCGGGGTCTAAAAATATTTTTATGAAGCCAATCATCGCCTGTTTTGACCGGCGGTACCAACATAGATCGTCAGATGTTTAAGTGTTTCACCAACCATGTTGCCCTCAAGTTCTTCCTTTTCAATAGTAGGAGACTCATGAACTTCTTCAGGCTGAGTTTCATATTCCATGTGTTCCAAGTTCTCCTCAATTCCTACATCATGGTCGTCCGCTAGATTGACTTGAACGTCCTTTCTCCTTTTTGGACACTCATTTGACCGGTGCCCAAATTCCAAACACCTAAAGCATTTGATTCCCCCTTGTACATTGCCTCGACCTTGACCCCATCTCCCTTTATTAGGATTTTGCTTGGTTGTTAAGACGTGTAGAGGCTACTACCCACCCACCACAGGTGACATTCTCTCCACGGCTAGATGTTGCACTGTCATTGCGACCAATCCCAATCTTCTTGAAGGTTCCATGGGTGAGTTGGGCTTCCACCTTTAAGGCAAGTTGATATGCATCACTTACTTTATAGAGTCGATGCAGTCCCACCTGATCTTGTATTACCAATCGTAGACCATTCACATACCGGCTGACTCTTTGGGTTTCACTCTCGGCCAAATTACTCCTTAATGTTTGATGGAATTCTTGAGTATACTCCTACATAGTCTTCTCCCGCTGATGCAGATTTTGTACCTTTTGTTACAAAGTTTGCTCATAGTCTTGGGGCAAAAATTGAGCTTTCAATTTGTCCTTCATCTTGTCCCATTTTCTAACCTTTCCTTTACCCCTAATTTCACGATCATGTTGATAATGCTTCCACCACTTAGAAGCTTGATCTCTCAACTTGGCTCCAACCAATTTGACCTTTCTCTCTCCTGGGACCTCTTTCCAATCGAAATAACTTTCAATGCTGTCCAACCAATCTAGAAACTCTTCAGCCTCCATTTCCCCCCATCAAACTCTGCAATTTGAATATGAACACCATACTCTTTGTTTTTTTGCAAAGAACGTACAATGCGATCTTCCCGTCATTGTGCTCTCACATTCTGCCTATTAGAGCCATCAGATTCTGCCCTACTTCCATTGCTAGAGCTCTCATTTTCTCTTTGAGCAAAAGGATCAAAATTATCCATTACCCCTCTTAACAAGACCAGGGCCTCTATCACTTCCATTTTCATGATCATGGCCCTTCATAGCCATAACCAACCAGGTAAGATACTGAATCTGTTCGCATCACTTGCAACATCTCAACAGTCACGGCATTAATTGCATTCCTGCCCCTTTGGCCACAATTCCCACATGCACCCCTCACATCCATCAATCGGATGTATAAAGTCCTCAAAGAGGAAAAGGAAAAGTGAACAGCCACAAGAATGAACTTGCTCTGACACCACTTGATGTAAATTGAGTGCAAGAACAGTATAAACAAAAGAAAATGTGCAAACCGGTAATATGGGTTCTTAGCAACTGTTTAAAAAAGAATCCCTCAAGTTTCCAAGTTTAAATGACATAAATACCTTTAAGTATTGCTAGAAAAAGGAGCATAGCAGTTGATCAAGGAATATAATTGGTCCTCACGCACCGATTCGCTGCGACAAGGTGATTGGAGTAATCCAAAGCTTCAAGCGTCAACGTCCTCACATCCAATCTCACAAACCCAAACTAGAGGGGAGCCTTGCTCTCAAGGGTAATCTTCTCCAATACCAAAAATCCCCCATTCTCCCATGGAACTAGTACTTAAAACACCCCAAGGAAACCGGAATAGTTCCTACGAAATCCTAGCCATTCATTTAATCTAATCTCAACCCTTAAATCCTACCTTAAGTTAAAAGATTGGCAAATACCCGATATAACCCATCACATAAATGTAAATCCCAAAAAAGCCCCAACTAGTATCAAATTTAACCTTTAACTTAATACCATACCCCTAAAGGTCCCAAACAATTCTAACCCTCCAACCACTAAACAACTTAAAAGAAAGTAAAGAATAGGAATGTTTGGCCACCCTCTCGGGTTTTCGACCCAACCTTTTTTTTGGTTTTTTCATCACTTTTGGGTCCCACAGAAGCTTATACTCCTTTTGTGTGAAGCTTGGTTGAGGAAAGTCACTGTGTGAAAATCTTGGTGACCCAAGTCTTGAGATATTGAAAGAACTACATTTTTTTCATCTGATTAACTAAATTTGGGCATCATTTGGGGTCACGGACCATTTTCAGAAAATGATTTTTTGCTATGCATGGGGCTTTGCAGATGCCAGAATGTATTTATTTCCTATCGATCTTGCATTTTATTTCATGTGGTTATGTGTCTCCCTTTTGTCCTTTCAGCTCAATAGAATCAGTGATCCTGTGGATGATGCAACCTATAGAGATATATGGATGGCAACTGCAAAGGTAAGGAAACTTTGCATGTAATTTATATGTAGGAGGTTTACCTGGCTCGATGACATTTTGATTTTGATCTATTTATGCACTGCTTTCTCCTTGGAATTGGCTGAACTCAGTTATGAACTTTTTTATTTGAGGAAAAGGTTAACAACTTAGTTTTTTGAGGCAAAGGTTAACAAAGTTATGAACTTTATCTTTTCATTCATTTAAAAATGTTCCCATGAGATTTTGAATTTAGCAATCTAAATTACTTTATCCTCAGGCTCCCAGTCTTTGCTGGTTCAATAGAAATATATTGGTTTAGTGATCAGCACTGTATTAGCAGCTATATGTTGATATCAAAATCCATGGGTTCATTTTGACCTGATTGTGAGCATTATTCCATTATTTTTGTGAAAATTGAATTGTAGCTTATAGATGTAAAATGCAGAAAACCGACTCTTTTTCAAGTCCTAACATGCGATATTTCTTATTGACTGTATTTGTTGGTCAATGAAAATTTTAGTCTTCTGTTTTCTCCTGTGTGATATTGTTCAACCTGAGGGTAATTCTTTTTGAATGTTATGCAGACAAATACCATGATCTTCCAAGATGTGTTTACATGCATCCCAAATGACCTTATTCCTTCCAGGTAAGTTTATTCTAAGCTTTTCTCTCTCTCTCTCTCTCTCTCTCTCAATTGTTCCGTACCACTTTTCTCTCTCCAATCTTTGAATTGATGATTTCTATCGCTGTTTGTGTTCCGCTTATTATTAACTGTAGAATGGCAATTAGGCAAAGCATCAGTTGTTGGAAGGAGGAAATTGTCTTTTTCTCCAAATTCTCTCTCTCTCTCTCTTACACACAAAAACACATCTTGCCTGCTTTTCTCTCTCCAAATTTTCTTTGAATTCATGATTGATCTCACTGTTTGTGTTTTACTTATTATTAACTGTAGAATGGCGATTAGGCAAAGCATTGCTTATTGGAAGGAGAAAACTGGGCACACGACTATCGATCTAGGAATAGCTCCTGAAAAGCTGGAGTCTTATCAAAATGGCGGAATCAAAGCCATGGAGCCCATGGAGAGATTAGAGTCGGTAAAGGGGTATCTCGTTTCCTTCCCCTTGGATTTTATGTGTCAAGAAGATCTTAGACCGGTGTTTAATGAAAGTGAATATTATGCATCTCCTCAAGTATTCCATTAGGTGAGAAGAGTGTAAATCTTGCCCCATATCATTTCCTTTTGGCACACCATTGTATTATTTTGTAAAGAAACTAAGAGGAAAATAAATGCGCGAATGTAACAAGTATACACTTGATTAACTGCTCTTCATAATTAAACTCCAGAGAAAATTTGGAAATATAAACTTAAGCTCCATGCCTTTCATTTATGGAAAAACCTAAAAAACGCCCATAGGCGAAATGCTACAATGTTTCTCCTCAGCCACAGACTTGTTATGTTCATGGCAGTTTATTGACCAGACCCACCCACAACAGATGGCGTTGTCCATTCCGGTGCTCACCACGAACATGTTAGGTCCGTGGTAATTGAAAAACGCACGTCGCTCGATTTTTTTAGATGGTGATGAGCCTATAAGTGAAAACATTGTTCATTTTCACCCATAGATGTTGTGTAGATGTTTCCATATATGGAAAAACCTAAACAATGCGTATAGGTGAGATGTTATAACGTTTTGCCTCCACCACAGACTTGCTCTGTCCGTGGTGGTTTATTGAACAGACCCGCAACGGACCGCTTCGTCTGTTATGGTTCTGCGTGAATATTTTTAGTCATGGACTTAGTATGTCTGAAACGATACCTACTATAGACATGTTAGGCATGTGGCAGTCGAAAAACACACGCCGCTTGATTTTTTCGGACTATGATGAGCCTATAGGCGAAAATACTATTCATTTTTGCCTATAGGCGTTGCGTAGATGTTTCTAGTAAGTATATATATATATATATATATATATGTTTTATTCATATATTTTATCCGAAGGGAATTTGGGTTTGCCTTTTGATCGGTAACAATCTAAATTAAGCTCCGACCCTTTATATCCTCCCAAAAATGTACGGAGTGGGGTCTCAATTTTACTAAATGGGACATAGGCACAATTATTAAAGGGATATTATAGCATCCATATGAGGTGGAGGCTTAAAAAGTGCACAAGCACCTTGATGGTTCGGATGGAACCTGGCTATATGACAGCCAAAAAAAACTGTTTTTTATTTTATTTAAAGATTAGGTTTACCTGAAATTTGAAGTAGTTTAAATTTTATAAGGCATACAAATAAAAATAATAAAAATTATTTTGAATAAAAATATTGACTAAAATACCCCTACAGTATTTAGGGTATTTTGGTTATTTTGTAGAAAACAATTTTACATCATTTTTATTTAGTGTTCTTTATAAAAATAAATTTATATCTTCAATCTCATGTAAAATTAATCTTTAAATAAATAAATAAATAATGAAAAAAAAAGTTGTTGTTGGAGGTTCAATCTAAATTCTAATTTAAACGATTGGTGCTTGTGCACCTTTTCACTGTTTCACCTCATGAAGGTAGCCGGCTTTTGATTATCCCCAAATAAACCAAATGAATGCTTATTCATATGATAAGCGAAATGATTCTAGGAAAAGAGCCTGGTTTTAATTGATTAGCACTTGAAGATTTGCAACGCTACGTCTTAGGTACCCATTGATTCACCCAAAAAAAAAAAAAACCAAGTGATACTAGCCTTAATTTTCAATCATAAGAGAGCGGTTCTCTTAATGGCTCCAAAAAAGGTTGCTATTTCTCTTCTAATTCTCTCATTTTCTTTATTTTGTTTGCGAAAGGATATTCTACTTCCGCAAGAGTAGAATGTCCATTCACTCTCTTGGCTTAAACCCCAATTAATTGCAGGACATCAAATTTATGGGATGTAACATCTTAAACACAAAGATTAACTTTAGTAAAACCCTACTTAGAATTAATTGCATGACATCAAATTTATGGGATGTAGCATCTTCAACACAAAGATTAACTATAGTAAAAAAAAATTCCTTATCTGTACCCTCTATGCACTTGGAAAAAAAAAATTCCGAGATTGAATAAAGACCATCCAACTTTTAGATAGTTAGATCTAAGTGTTAGAAAATTCAAAATTCAATTTTTTTTTAGAATAATCATCTGATAATTCTTAAGTGGATTTTAAAATTTTAGATTGAAAAATCCTCTTAAGTAAGCCTTTTGATCAAGCGAGTAAAGTCAACTTTGCTCCCAAGATAGCGTAGTATACATACCATATTAAATAGTTATGTTCTTGTCAAAAAAAGAGAGCATAGTGTACATGCTCATTTTGATTTCTAGTCGATACAAACCATTTATTGATAAGTACACAGCGTATATATGTGATTTTGAAGTGAAATTTGGCAAATGAAGCCATTGCTTTCATTAGAGAGAGAGAGAGAGAGAGCGCGCGCACTTAACATGTATGTTCGAGCCCTAGCGTGTGCATTCTTCTTTTCAGGTAGTTTAGAGGTAGGATTCATTTATGGGAAAAAATGATTTCTTCCTGCTTGCACTCCAAGGGCATATTTGGATGAACTCATTGTAACTGATAATTTATTATCCCAATAAAATTAATCATGATTATAACATGTTTGGCAGTGTCCCTTACAAATTTATTTGAAGTGAAATTATGGAAAAAGTTTATATATAAGGTGCGGTGTTTTCAAAATCGAGGAAATATTAACAAACCATGGATTCGGAAGCGGTTTAATCGGCCTAACCAGTAAACCGGCTGATTCAATCGCTGCTCTAACAGGGCAACTCTTGGGTGATCAAAAAAGTATTGAAAAAAATAAAAAAAATATAAAAAAAATCTACTAAAATATAAAAATATATATAAAGAATGATTACAGCAAAACACATTCAAATGAAGTTGAAAATTAATGAAAAAAATTGATTTTAACCTATTTTATATTTTCCAACGGCTATTTTTAAAATTTTCTAAAAAAGATGAGAAAAGTATAAAAGTGGGTATTAATGACCGAAACAATTTTTAATCCTTACCAGAATGTAAAGAATATTTAAAAATGCATTACAAATCAAATTTCTTATTTTTTAGAATTTATATACATTTTTTTGTTTTTTTTTTAAAAAAATACCGGTTGATCACCCTAACCGCCCAAAATCAGAACCGGCTTGGAAGGTTAACGGTTAGCGGCTAGATCTGGCGCTTTTACAAGCAATGAAAGGTGTCAACCTTATACTATACAAGTAAGGTGCACCTCAAAACTCATTGGAAAAGGTTGTTTCGTCACTGGAAAACCCTCGAATTAATCATCTCCACTTCAATATATATGAATATGAAAAAAAAATTGAATTTCAAGTATTAATAATAGTACATTTTGTAACATATTGTCGAGACTATCTATTATCAAGATATTTAAGGGTATAAATTTGTGTTAGATTTGTACCATTTTTTACCTTTCAATTTCATAATATCGGTGAAAAATACATTTTAGGGTGATTCACTGCCTAAAATACATTTTATAATGAAATTTTGAGGTGCACCTTATCCTAATTGTTTAAGGTTGACACCTTATACAAATCTCACCCGTAAACTTATAGGCTGTTTTACATTTAAGTGTATTTTTTAAAGCTGTTTAGCACTTTAGTTAAAATAATTTGCCAAAAATTACATAATTTTAATCAGAAATAACTAAAAATAGCTTAAAATTGTCTAAAAGATCAAATAATTAAACAATACTATTATGTAATTTAATGTGTGTATGAAATGGCTAATAAAATAATATGCAATGTATACTGATTTAAGATAAGATAGTTTGATCCTAATAAGCTTAATTGCCTCTAAATAAACCCTAAAATAGCGATGAATATATCCATCCATAGCGTGAGGTTTAGGAACAGTTCTGGACACATGCATCTGCTATTTTTTCATGGTTTGATGATTCAAGATTTCAAATCCTTGCTATTTCTGTCCTTAAATAATGGATTGCATAAATAAAACGGTCAAAAGATCTCAATCAAAGTTTACTTCTAAATGCCCATTGGGTACCCCCTTTAAAAGTATCTTTAAAAATGTTCAAAGTGCTCTTGTTTAAGGTTAGTAACCCAAACAAGAATTTAATCCACCTTAAACAAGTGGGGGTGCTCCCATCATTAGATTGGAGCATACCAAGTGGGTCAAATAAATGAAAGCCTTTACTTGCTCTAGTTTCTAACCTTGAATAAGGGTAAATTTTGACATTTTTTATGATATCCTTTCGAGGAGGTGAATAAGCTCAATGAAATTTTAAATCATTAATGTTATTTAAGGAGCCATAACTTCTTACAAAATTATTAAAAAAGTCAAAACATCTTAATTAACATTAAGGATTTGTATTATAATTCCTTATTCACTTAGGCACCACCAAAAGTAAAAATTTCATAAAGAGCACCCAAAATTGAACCCTTCAGGTTGGGGATCCCTAACAAATTAGGCACATTTTAGTAATTTAGCTCTCATAAGAGCCCAAATATCAAATGTCAGAGTAATCCAGCTTGTTTAGGATGGGTCAATTTGCTGAAAATGCTCTTGCTTGTTCACAACTCCATGCCTAAATAAAGCAATTTTGACATTTTTATTGAGATATTTTTAAAAAGGTTCTTGAATGAAATAAAAATTTAAAAGTAAATTATTAACTATTAATTTGGATGACCTTGACAATTTTGTAAGAGCTTTTTACCCCTCAATGATCTATTAACCTTAAACAATTAAATTAAGGTGCACCCCAAACCTCAGCATAAGATGCAATTTTAGTGTCGGAAATTTTAGGATGGTAAGAGAATTGGTTTTTATGTCTTGATAACAAAATTTAAAACTCTAAAATTGGTTCAAATCAAGCAAATTTGTAAATGCATGAAAATCCTGAAAATGAACATTCCATATAATTTGGTGCAAGATATACTATTTTTAGGATATTAAATCTCTTTTTTTCTCCATATATATACATCTCTAAGCAGAAATGATCAATTACATGTTTTTCCAACTTTAAAACAACGTTCTTCAAAGGATTTTATAGGTGCACCTTAATTCTACATTTTAAGGTGTAATATATATATATATATATAGGGTTATGAAGTTAGCATGCTGAAACTTTATTTGTAAAGTGCCCTTGTCATGAAGTTAAAATTTCAACCTTACCCCTTATGGAGATGACAAAATTACCCTTTGTCTTGTAGTAATATTTACAAAATTGCCCTACAAAAGTAACTTTTATTAAAAATTAGTAATAAATCCACCCTTCACAACTTTTTCTATCTTGAACCTTTGTAATTAAAAGGGGCAATATATATATATGGTAAATGTCTTCTCAAAGCCTATAGGCGAAAATAAAGATTTCGCCTATGCTCATTACCGTCCAAAGTTCATTACATGGTTAGTATTTTAATTTTTACTTTTTTATAAATCGGAATGATTTGAAATTTGGAACATGTATACATCTTAGTGAGGCGCACCTAATAAAAATATGAAAAAATAATTTCACAAAATATAAATTGATCAAAATACCCCTATATAATTTTAAGGGTATTTTGATCCATTTATATTTTACGAATTATTTATTTATATTTTTATTATATTCAAATGAATGCACGCTCCAAATTTCATATCATTCTGATTTGTAAAAAAAAAATAAAAAATGAAACACTACAGGACAATCGTGACCATGCGATGAACTTTGGACGGTTATGAGAGTAGGCGAAATCACTGTTCGTTTTCACCAACCTATATATATATATATATATATATA